GGTGTGTCATCTAGGGAGAAGGCGGAGTTGGCTTCCTACCAATTGAAAGAGGTGGACCAAATTTGGTTCACTCAATGGAAGGCCAATAGGCCGGTTGAAGCGGGTCCTATAGAATGGGAAGAGTTTAAGGGAGCTTTCCTTAGCAAGTACTTTCCCCGTGATAAAAGAGAGGTTAAGATTGAGGAGTTAATTAACCTTAGGCAAGTTAACATGAATGTGGAGGAGTATTCTTTGAAATTTACCTTGTTGTCTAAATATGCTCCCTCTTTGGTGTCTAACCCTAGAGATGAAATGAATAGGTTTGTGACCGGTATATCCGACCTTGTGAAGGAAAAGTGCCATACGACAATGCTCTATGACGATATGAATATTTCTAGGCTCATGGTGTATGCTCAATCCATTGAGGAGTCCAAGATTAAGAGGATGAATAGGGATTTAAAAAGGGGTAGATTCAATGAGAATGATCAACCTAGGTTTAAGAAGAGGGCTCCTAACCAAGATTCTTCAAGTGCTCCTAAGGCTAATGAGCAGAAAGGTGGTAGATCTCAATTTTCTAAGCCTCTTTGTGCTAGTTGTGGGAAGAAGCATTTTGGGAAATGTCTAGCCGGTACGAGTGGTTGCTATGGGTGTGGAAAGTATGATCATAAGGTGAGAGATTGTCCTACTCTTACGGCTAGAGGAAGGAATGCCAAGCAAGCTTCCATTGATGTCCCAAATCTTGATGCTTCAAAGTGGAACCGTTCCTATGCTCTTCTAGCTAACAAGGAAGCAAATCTGGATGAAGGTGCCGGTAAGTTATAGTTCCTTGTTTTGTGATGAAGTCCTTGTGTGATGTTCCATGATAGCCTAGATGGGTTTCTCCCAAATGGGGGATGGTATGTTGAATAGTAAGGTTGTGAGAGTGTTGATTTCTTTGTCTCTTTCCCTTCTATTTTATTCAAGCTTGAGACCTAGAGTTTCTAGTAGCAGTTGCATCATTGGAGGCTTGTGTGAAAGTGAGTTTCCATGGTCTCCTTATATTATGCATGTTTTAGTTGAATTCTTGTTAAATGAGAAAATGAGTTTTCATAAATTTTGTTCCTCATGGTGATGTACATCTATAATGAGTTGCCTAAATGCTGCATGAGTTTACTTGATGAGCATGTTTAAATGAGTTCTTATGAGAAGGTTGCATAATGTGCATTAATGACATAATTGCATATTTGCCTTATGATGTTGAAATGAGTATGATGTGATGCGGAGAAGGAAGTTCCTCCAATGAAATGAGAAATGCTATTGTGTTGTGATGCATAATGAGTTTGTTGAGGTAGTTCCTACTTCCTTGTTTTGCATTGAGCTTATTAATGTGGAGTTGATGTTTTCCTCCTTTGGTTTACGCGTTATATTTATGTGTCATGATTGTTCGGTTGCTAGTCTTGAGTCGTTTTTCCCTTGAAGTGTTTAAAGTGTCATTCGAGGATGAATGTTTCTAAGTGGGGGATAATGTAACGACTCGGAAAATGATAGGTTAAGCAAGAGGCTAATGACTTTGTGTTGACTTTATAATGAGGTTCTACGAGGTGTAATGTTGTCCCAAGCTAAATAGTTTAGGGAGTCAACGTCTTGAAACGTGTTAGACTGAAGGACTTGTTTTAATGTTGGTCAGGGGCCAAGGGCATCACAACGATTCGTGAATCCCCACACGAACCGTGAAGTCATCCGTGAAGGGTTTTCGTTTGACTTAGAGTGTAAGGTCAATTTTAAATGATGATATCTCTTAGCTTAAAATGACTCAGGTTGGCCCTTGCATATCCAATTAAAGGTCTCTGAGACCTCTTTCCAACTCTGCAAAGTTTGCCCTATTTTGATCTCGGGGTAAAAAGTTATACCCGAAATAGTGAAGCACTGTCAGACTGAAAATTCTCCACGACCCGTTTGACAGGCCGTGGTGATGATCACGGTCCATAGAGATGGCCTTGGAGTTGCCTTGGCCGTTTGGAGGTTGGCTAGCGTAAGGGAGCTACTGCCTAGGGACCACGGGCACCTTCACGGGACGTGGCCCCTTTTCACGGTCCGTAAAGTTATCCTTGGTCCCTAACGGGGCTGCCCAAGTGAGGGGTTTTTAAGTAATTTCGTTTTGATTGTTTATAATGCGGGGTTGATTTTAAATGGTTTATACGATAGACATATAAGGTTTTAAGTCTTTTAACAAGTAATTAACTCTCTTTTCCCAAATCAAATTCCAAAGTTCTTCTCTCTCAACTCAAGGAAGAAGAAGAAGTGGAACCTAGGGTTTTGGATTTCAAGATTTCTTCATCAAATTTTCGTGGGATTCATCAAGTCTAAGGTATGGTGACCCTTGATCCTTGATTATTCTTCCTTTTAAGGAGTCCATTCAAAAGGGTTTCAAAAGTCTTCAAAGAACAAAAAGCCTATTTTCTATTCTATGCATGTGTTTGTTGGTAAAATGTTTCCAAAAGCTTTATATTGGTGAATTAAGGTGAAATTGATGATTTATATGAAATTTCTTCAAGAACCCATGTTTTCAATAAAACCCTAAATTTGACTTATGAAGTGGGTTTATTGTTTATGAACGATTGTTGATAGAATTGTGCTTAGATTGAATTGTAGTATGGATTTCTATTGTTATCTATATATATCTATGGTGAATTGTTGGAGAATTGAGTAATGGTGGTTTTGGCTTGGATGAAGAGTAAGTAGACCAAATATCATGGTATTAGTAGAATTGTTCTTGTATGGGTTGATCCACTTAAGGTGGAGGTGTTTATATGTTGTATTGTATTGTGATTATGTCCATGAAGGCATTATATGGGGAATTGATGTATTATTATATTATCATATATGTGAAGGTATAATGTAATGGTGTTCATATGGTCTCAAGGTGATCTTGTATAAAATGTTATTATGTGGTGATGGAAAGTATGTTCTCTCTAAATGTTCATATGTGATGATGATAAACTATGGAGGGTCTCTATATGTTGATGTTGTAGCTTGATTGGTAGACTTAGATGTCTCTTCTTGTTACATGAAAGCTTATTGAATGAATGAAGTCTTGAATCGGCTAGACCTGAGCATGGTGTCCTTTCATAAGTCTAGACTCATAAGTGAATGTGAAACCTTGAAGTTGTGGACTTAAGGGTGATGACCTTCTTCTTGAGTGAAATGATAGACTTAGAGTTGGTAGACCGGAACGGTAGAAATCCCTCTCTAAGAAAGTCAATGAGCTATCCTTAATGAACCTTAATCGGCTAGACCTAGCATGGTGCCTTTCTTGGTAAAGGTACTATGGGTCGGCTAGACCTAATAATGGTGCCCTCTCTAGTACATACATGTGAATGAAATTACTCTATGAGAATTAAGGCTAAGCACCGAATGGATTTTGTTTAGATGGTAGGTCTTTCCGAGTATGACGCAAGATTACAATGAACATATTTGGATATCCCCTAAACCATGTGCCTACATGGGTTGCTTATTAGTTCTACCCTTGGCAAGTAGAACACCCTTCATGGCGTGGGATTTATGACGCCGGAATCCATCCCTAGCTAGTATGGTCTATGCCAATTAATGTCGATTCCCATCATGTGGGATATGCACTCTAGTTATTGGATAGGTTCTACAACGTGTAGGTAGTAGTATGGGATGCGATCTACAAACGGCACGAGTAGGCTTTGAAGATGCTAAAGTGAGTTCCCTAAGCCTTAATGGCTATCGTATGAGAGTCCTCTAAATGCATAAATGTATCCAAAATGACTCTAAAGAAGAATGTTGACTTGTCATCCTTATAGTATATTGTATGTCTCTTATATATTAAGGAAATGAACTATGTACCATGTTATATTGAAATGTAAAGGTTCTTGTGTATAGTAGCCTTGAGGAACACTTAAGTGTGTATGAATGAGGTTGTATGGGAGGCCACTTCATGTCTCACTCAAGTGTGCCTTAGGATGACTCTAGATAGAGACCCTAGGATGTGAACTTGTATCTTACTTAGTGTACATGTTTATGTGTTGCATATTGATACTTGTGAAGCATCATTACTTGAGATGAAGTATAAATGTGAAGTAAATGTCTTATATGTTGGTTATGGTGTAAACTATGCCTTTATTGTTCATAATGTGAAAGGTTTGTCAAAATAGCATATTCATGGCTTTCCAACCACGATGTCCGTTTTAAAGAATGTTTTTGCATGGTCATCATACTTAGTACTTAATTGTGCTAACTCCATATTTTCTCTATTTTTTTCTACAAGTGTAGGTTCCGTCAAGTGATCAAGTTCTATAGTAAAGCTTGGGATTTGAGGTTCTCTCAAGATCTTGTGGTATGTCCTCATATGTCGAGGACAAGACTTTCCTATTCTAGTTTTTGGTTTAAGACTCTTGTAGTAGACTTAAATAGACTTCTTTTGACTGTAAGGAGCCGTGACCCTATCTTGTTGAGGTTGTCTTTAAGTGGCCATGTGAGACCTAGTTTCTGTTTCTTTTATGAAAGAGTTTTAACATTGTTTGTTTTAAATAAGTTTTTTATTCTTCACTATTTCTTTATATCGAATGTTATGAATGCTAAGAGGCTTGTATTAGTCCTCTTAGAGGTCCAGTACGCCGGTTACGACTAGGAGGTGCTCTCGGGTCGTGACAATCTTGGTATTAGAGCATAAGGTTTTGGGAATGGTTCTTAAGTTCAAAGTCTCACAAGCCACGTCTAGTAGAGTCTTGTTCTTCGGTGTGAGTCGCGACCCATCCATGAGTGAGAGGCTATAGGACATTAGAAGTTACCCTTATTTCATTACCCTTGATGTCGTGCCTTAGAGTGCGGTTCTATAATTATCCTTTTCCTAATCCTTTCTCTTGTGTTTATAGGATATGAATACGAGGGTTAACCCGAGGAGAGTGGAAGAGAAGATTGTTAATGAGGGAGTTCCTCCCCAAGGTGAGCAAGGTCTTCAAAGTGGACAAGTTCTTATAGGCAATTAAGGTAATGAGGTTCTGGTGGTTCCCCCGGACATGACTAATGAGGAGATTAGAGTGGCGCTTCTTGCCTTAGCCCGAGCCATGACGGGACTAGCAAATAAAGATGTGGATCCTAGGTTGAATGAGAGTACCTTGCCCTCAAGACTGAGGGACTTTGTGTGTATGAATCCTCCTATCTTTCTTAGCTCTAGAATAAGAGAAGATCCACAAGAATTGTTGGACGAAATGTATAAGATAGTGGATGCTATGGGTGTGTTATCTAGGGAGAAGGTGGAGTTGGCTTCCTACCAATTGAAAGAGGTGGCCCAAATTTGGTTCACACTATGGAAGGCCAATAGGCCGGTTGAAGCGGGTCTCATAGAATGGAACAGTTTAAGGGAGCTTTTATTAGCAAGTACTTTCCCCATGAGAAAAGAGAGGTTAAGATTGAGGAGTTTATTAACCTTAGTCAAGGTAACATGAATGTGGAGGAGTATTCTTTGATATTTACCTTGTTGTGTAAATATGCTCCCTATTTGGTGCGTAACCTAGAGATGAAATGAATAGGTTTGTGACCGGTATATCCGACCTTGTGAAGGAAGAGTGTCATACGGCAATTCTCCATGAGGATATGAATATTTCTAGGCTCATGGTGTATGCTCAATCCATTGAGGAGTCCAAGCTTAACAGGATGAATAGGGACTTAAAAAAGGGAAGATTAAATGAGAAAGATCAACCTAGGTTTAAGAAGAGGACTCCCAACCAAGATTCCACAAGTGCTTCTAAGGCAAATGAGGAGAAAGGTGGTGGGAAGAAGCATTTTGGGAAATGTCTAGACAGTACGAGTGGTTGCTATGGGTGTGGAAAGTATGATCATAAGGTGAGAGATTGTCCTACTCTTACGGCTAGAGGAAGGAATGCCAAGCAAGCTTCCATTGATGTCCCAAATCTTGATGTTTCAAAGTGGAACCGGTCCTATGCTCTTCTAGCTAACCAGGAAACAAATCCGGATGAAGGTGCTGGTATGTTATAGTTCCTTGTTTTGTGATGAAGTCCTTGTGTGATGTTCCATGATACCCTAGATGGGTTTCTCCCAAATTGGGGATGGTATATTGAATAGTAAGGTTGTGAGAGTGTTGATGTCTTTGTCTCTTTCCCTTCTTTTTTATTCAAGCTTGAGACTTAGAGTTTCTAGTAGCATGTTGCATCTTTAGAGTCTTGTGTGAAAGTGAGTTTCCATGGTCTCCTTATATTATGCATGTTTTATTTGAATTCTTGTTAACTGAGAAAATGAGTTTTCATAAATTTTGTTCCACATGTTGATGTACAGCTATAATGAGTTGCCTAAATGTTGCATGAGTTGACTTGATGAGCATGCTTAAATGAGTTCTTATGAGAAAGTTGCATAATGTGTGGTTTAATGAGATAATTGCATATTTGCCTTATGATGTTGAAATGAGTATGATGTGATGTGGAGAAGGAAGTTCCTCCAATTAAATGATAAATGCTATTGTGTTGTGATGCATAATGAGTTTGTAGACGTAGTTCCTACTTCCTTGTTTTGCATTGAGCTTATTGATGTGGAGTTGATTTTTTCCTCCTTTGGTTTATGCATTATATTGATGTGTCATGACTGTTGGGTTGCTAGTCTTGAGTCGTTTTTCCCTTGAAGTGTTTAAAGTGTCATTAGAGGATGAATGTTCCTAAGTGGGGGATAATGTAACGACTCGGAAAATGATAGGTTAAGTAAGAGCATAATGACTTTGTGTTGACTTTATAATGAGGTTTTATGATGTGTAATGTTGTCCCAAGCTAAAGAGTTTAGGGAGTCAACGTCTTGGAACGTGTTAGACTAAAAGACTTGTTTTAATGTTGGTCAAGGGCCAAGGGCATCACAACAGTCCGTGAAGCCCCACACGGACCGTGAAGGGTTTTCATATGACTTAGAATGTAAGGTGAACTTCAAATGATGATATCTCTTAGCTCAAAATGAATTAGGTTGGCCCTTGCGTATCCAATTAAAGGTCTTTGAGATCTCTTTCCAACGCCGCAAAGTTTGCCCTATTCCGATCTCGAGGTAAAATGTTATGCCCGAAATAGTGAAGCACTGTCAGGATGGAAATTCTTCACAACCCGTTTAACGGGCCGTGATGATGATAACGGTTCGTAGAGATGGCCTTGGATTTGCCTTGGCCGTTTGGAAGTTGGCAAGCCTTATGGGAGCTACTGCCTAGGGACCACGAGTACCTTCACGGGTCACGGTTTGTTAAGTCTTTCTTGGTCCCTGACGGGGCTGCTGAGGGTTTTTTAAGTAATTTCGTTTTAATTGTTCATTTACTCTCTTTTTCCAAGTCAAATTCCAAAGTTCTTCTCTCTCAACATTTCTCTCTCAACTCAAGGAAGAAGAAGAAGTGGAACCTAGGGTTTTGGATTTCAAGCTTTCTTCATCAAATTTTCGTGGGATTCATCAAGTCTAAGGTATGGTGACCCTTGATCCTTGATTATTCTTCCTTTCAAGGAGTCCATTCAAAAGGGTTTCAAAAGTGTTCAAAGAACAAAAAGCCTAGTTTCTATTCTAAGAACGGGTTTGTTGGTAAAATGTTTCCAAAAGCATGATATTGGTGAATTAAGGTGAAATTGATGATTTTATATGAAACTTCTTCAAGAACCCACGTTTTCACTAAAACCCTAAATTTGACTTATGAAGTGGGTTTATTGTTTATGAACGATTGTTGATAGAATTGTGCTTAGATTGAATTTATTATGGATTTCTATTGTTAAATATATCTATATATGGTGAATTGTTGGAGAATTTAATAATGGTGGTTTTGGCTTGGAAGAATGGTAAGTTGACCTATTCTCTTGGTATTAGTAGAATTGTTCTTGTATGGGTGGATCCACTTATGGTGGAGGTGTTTATATGTTGTATTGTATTGTGATTATGGCCATGAAGGCATTATATGTGGAATTTATGTATTATTATATTATCATACATGTGAAGGTATAATGTGAAGGTGTTCATATGGTCACAAGGTGATCTTGTATAAAGTGTTATTATGTGGTGATGGAAAGTATGTTCTCTCTAAATGTTCATATGTGATGATGATAAACTATGGAGGGTCTCTATATGGTGATGTTGTATCTTGATTGGTAGACTTAGATGTCTCTTCTTGTTACATGAAAGATTATTGAATGAATGAAGTCTTGAATCAGCTAGACCTAAGCATGATGCCCTTTCATAAGTCTAGACTCCTAAGTGAATGTGAAACCTTGAAGTGGTCCTAAGGGTGATGACCTTCTGCTTGAGTGAAATGATAGACTTAGAGTTGGTGGACCGGAACAGTAGAAAGCCCTCTCTGAGAAAGTCAATGAGCTATCCTTAATGAATCTTTATCGGCTAGACCTAGCATGGTGCCCTTCTTGATAAAGGTACTTTAGGTCGGCTAGACCTAATAATGGTGCCCTTTCTAGTACCTACATGTGAATGAAATTACTCTATGGCAACTAAGGCTAAGCACCGAGTGGATATGGTTAAGATGGTAGCTCTTTCCGAGTATGAGGCAGGAGTACAATGAATGTCTTTGGATATCCCCTAAACCATGTGCCTACATGGGTTGCTTATTAGTTCTACCCTTGGCAAGCATAACACCCTCCACGGCGTGGGATTTATGATGCCAGATTCAATCCCTAGCTAGTATGGTCTATGTCGGTTAATGCCTATTCCCATCATGTAGGATGTGCACTCTAGTTATTGGATAGGTTCTACAACGTGTTGGTAGTAGTATGGGATGCTATCTACAAATGGCACGAGTAGACTTTGAAGATGCTAAAGTGAGTTCCCTAAGCCTTAATGGCTATCGTATGAGAGTCCTCTAAATGCATGATTGTGTCCAAAATGACTCTAAAGAAGAATGTTGACTTGTCATCCTTATAGTATATTGTATATCTCTTATATATTAAGAAAATGAACTATGTACCATGTTATATTGAAATGTAAAGGTTCTTGTCGATAGTAGCCTTGAGGAACACTTAAGTGTGTATGAATGAGGTTGTATGGGAGGCCACTTCATGTCTCACTCAAGTGTGCCTTAGGATGACTCTAGATAGAGACCCTAGGATGTGAACTTGTATCTTACTTATTGTACATGTTTATGTGTTGCATATTGATACTTGTGAAACATCATTACTTGAGATGAAGTATAAATGTGAAGTAAATGTCTTATATGTTGGTTATGGTGTAAACTATGCCTTTATTGTTCATAATGTGAAAGGTTTTTCAAAATAGCATATGCATGGCTTTCCAACCAAGATGTCCGTTTTAAAGAATGTTTTTGCATGGTCATCATACTTAGTACTTAATTGTGCTAACTCCATATTTTCTCTATTTGTTTCTACAAGTGTAGGTTCCGGCAAGTGATCGAGTTCTATAGTAATGCTTGGGATTTGAGGTTCTCTCAAGATCTTGTGGTGTGTCCTTATATGTCGAGGACAAGACTTTCCTATTCTATTTTTTATGTTAAGACTATTGTAATAGACTTAAATATAATTCTTTTGACTGTATAGGGCCGTGACCCTATCTTGTTGAGGTTGTCTTTAAGATGGCTATGTGAGACTTTGTTTCCGTTGCTTTTATGAAAGAGTTTTAAGATTGTTGGTTTTAAATAAGTTTTTATTTCTTCAGTATTTCTATATATCGAATGTTATGAATTCTACGAGGGTTGTATTAGACTTCTTCGAGGTCGATTACGCCGGTTATGACTAGGGGGTGCTCTCGGGTCGTGACACTTACTTAAGCCCAAAATCCTGGAGACGAACTAGTGATGGTTTGCCACGTTCAGTACGACCTTTTACAGTCCATATAGAGGCTCGTGGAATGGTGTAACAGATGCATTTTTTCTTTCGAACTTAACTTTCCAATTCCGAGGTATTATAAAAATAAGGATTAAAACAGCCCACAAGAGAAAGTTCGAGAATGATTAAAATAGGAACTAAATTAAGTAAAATCTGGGGAAAATACAAAATATACGTGAGAATAACGATCCCAAGACGTACACAATCTATTCCCCACCACTTTCCAACAATTCACCATGGTTTTTTTTCCTTGAAATTGAGCTCCAAATTGCAACAACGATATTTAACTTTAAGAAATGCATGCTGACAATAGTTAGAACTCAATATAATTGTCATAAAGTTAATCATCGCGATCCGTATGGCTGCCATCGTGATTGTCACGACCCAAGCCTAGGGCCTAGACGTGACCGGCGAATGGGGAACCCGAAGGAACCCCAAACAAGCCTCATAGCGTATCATTACACATCCTTGGTCGCGGAAGAAACTAAAATGACCATAAGCGATAAGCATAATCAAGGGGGAAATCGGGACAAAGGGAGCAAGAGAAAAAAAAAGGAATGATACATAAATACCATAGATGAGTCAAGCTCAAGCATAATACACAACTTGTCCAACACCACCTCTAAACATGGGAACTTAGCGGGGGCCAAGACAAACTACCGGGCTCACCCTCATAGTCAAAACATAACTAAAAAGGAAAAGTCTTATACATAGCAAAAGATCATAAGCAACGTCCCCGGAATGGAGGACTCACCAATAACCTCGATAGAAAATCGTATTAGCCACGCGGAGGAGGATGGTCAAGCGGTGCTCCGGTCCCTACATGGTGATATCATGTAGGCATAGAGTATGCATTAGTACGTTTGAATGTACTAAGTATATGGGATGCAATGCAATGCTACAATAGATGGACATCATAGGAAAAATGCATAATCATACCCGATAGATAGCATATTAATGAAATGATATGTATAATGATGCTTATATAAAAATCATATTTAGTGGGACGTAGTACATGTGTGGCGAGTGACCATCAATATAGTATTTCCAAGGCCTACCACCCCCTTGGATAGGCGAAAGAGGTACAAACCCCTCAATGTGGTTACCCGGGCCTACCACCCCCCGAGCTAGGGACTAAGGTACAAACCCCTCGATGTGGTTATACGGGCCTACTACCCCCCG